ACAGCTTAACCAATTACTATGAAATTTGGTACACATGTGATGTGAGAATGATGAAGGATATAGGCTACTTTTTATTGCGGTAGATTAACATATCCTAGACATGCGAATGAAGTCACTGGTAATAGCAAGTATTTACAAAATTGTTTCTCCTGACCATTTATGCATATCCATAACTACCTACTAAGTCCAGAAAATTGAATTTTGAAATATAAGTTTATTTTATAACCTAAGCATCCGCTAAGAAAGATATTTTGAAAAAATCAACTTAAAAGAGAAACATGACACAAATATTGGTCTTTTCAATTGTAAAGACATTTTATTTATTTATTTATTTTTAACTATAACATTTAAGTCGACTGGTACACATGTATGACTGTAACTACTAATGAACTGTCAGTTTTCTCACATTTGGTTTGCTGGAAGAAATCTCTATTGGAGATAAGCTCGCCTTTGTTGCACTGTTATGTTTGTTTTTACATTTCAATAACCTTTTGTGTACAATAAAGAATAAAGAAAGAAAGAAGGAAACGTGCAAAACTGGGTATAAAGTAAACATGTGAATGTAAATTCGACATCATGTTACAATCATATCACGACATCATGTTTCATGTTACAATCATTTGATACAAAATCTTTATTTATCAAATTAGGCCACAGTTAGTGGATAGTTTGTAATTAACTCCTAATTGCATCTAAAGTGCGACATACCAGAAGTTGCGGTGCTTTTACCGTTTGCTATGTCGCGTCAATATTTCGAATAACATATATTACATGTTATATGTTATAATAAGCTATGTCTAACAAACATTTACATAACATTTTGATTATGAACTTATTGACATTATTATATTAATTAATTTACCTGTCTATAAATGTAAATTTTGTAATGGACGGATATTTTGGTTATCGCATAGGTAGTGTTTTGATGACTCATGATGTATTCAAGTAACTTGAAGCTCGTCATACCACGTACTCACTATAAGATCCTGACTGGTGGAGTGGTGGGCCGGGTCGTTGAGCTCCCTAAAATATGGTTAAACGATGTTATGGTTGCCTTATCCGACATACGTGTGAACGGGTACTGCTTGTTGGGACTTGGTTTGCTTGATTATTTTTCATTGAATTTATATATATATATAAATATCTTGCTTATAAACCAATTGGAAAGAGGAACTTTTGAGTTGCATGCGGGTTCTCCTCAGTAGATAAAAGCATTCCGAATCCAGCAGTGGAATCACAAAAGAATTGCGATTTAAAAGAGCTCGTAAACAAGCCTATTTGAATAATGATTATTTCTATTCTATGTTGATAAATAGGATATATTTTACTGAACTAGGTGTTATCTTGCGAAAGTCCATATTACTGGTTATTTGACAAGAATAATTTTGTTTAATTTTGCTATTATTAGTGTATGTGCATTCATATATATATAAACACAAAAAATTACAACATATAATATATATAAAATAAAGATGTACAACAGGCGAGCTTAACTCTGTAAGAGTTCTCTTCCAGCAAACCCTGAGTGGAAAGGAGCATTAATTATTTATTAGCGGGCAGTATGCGTACAATAATAGAAGGAAACATTATAGATGTTTCTATTAAAAAATGAAATATGTTGACATATATAATATAAGTAACTCATACAATTAAAATCAAAATAAATACATATCTGTATACAATAATACATATACATATACATAATAAGTTTATGAGGACAGAAGATGTATATATATATATATATATATATATATATATATATATACGTAAATTTTCAAGTGTTAGCAGTCACGTACACACTAATGGTAACGAGTTTACACAAAATAATTCTAATTATTTTGTGTAAACTCGTAATTTTTATTACGTCCTGTACACGTATAAAGCAAAATAAAGCACTGGCCGTGTGGTCCCGGCATAGGCCATTCCTTCTTTACTCGTGGGTGTCATAAGAGCCGATTAAGAATATATGATGAAATAAGTCACAAATACCATACTTTATATAACAACGAAGCGTGTCACTACGTACTAAATTACTTCTTGATATATTTTTTTTAATGGATGATAATGGAATGGTAACCCCGCACGCGCTAACGGTATACACCAGTGAGAGATGATAGGTGAGAACGAAAAAGCAGGTCAGAGCTCATCGTGATGAATTCACCTGGAATTCAGCACGATGGTTTCCAGGGAGGACCACGTGGAGGTCGACCTGGTTGGACATATTGCTAACAATAGGACTGGTAGTCCGCATTATTAACAATCCCCCTTCCCCTTTTCGATATGTTACAACAGCTATTTCGGTGAATCCCTTTCCTTACAACTCTCCTAAACTCTTTCGAAAGTATTTGCAATTCTATTTTTGTCATTTCTTAAAACTTTTTTAATTACACAAATTTCATGCAGAATCGAAAACTCTGGAATCGAAATTTCGCCAGAGTCTTTTATCATCTGTATTAAAGCGGAAAATTAACCCTTAAATACCTGAAGTTTCAAATTTGATACCGGGGTTATAAATCGCATTGGGCGCATACAATCGATTTTTTTTTATTATTTGGCTGTTTACATGTTACCAAATGTTTTTTTCAAAATATGTATATAAAAATATCATTTTGAATTTTATACTGTTTTTCCCCTACAGTAAAGAGTACACTTATATATTTTTTTATTTGATTTTAAAAATCAGGCTTTTAAGGGTTAATGAAGTTATGATATCTAAAACTATGTTAGTAATTCAGGAGATATGGTATGTAATTTTATATAATTTAATGTATATAATTAAAATGAGTCTATAAATAAAATATAAAGAGGTGAAGAGACTCGCTGAAAATCGTAGTGAGTGGCAAGAGCTCCACCGACAAGAGCGCAGCTCTTAAATAGGATAGATAGAATTAAAATATACTTTATTAGTATATGGCAGCAGTAATATTACTAATAATACTAATAACTATTATTATATATCAGCCGTTAACTGTCCATTGCTTAACATAGGTTTTCGCAGGCGGGTAGGCAGCCGTAGATTTTATTTGATGGGTGAAAATGGTATGGTAACCCCGCCTGCACTAACGGGATACGCTGGCGGGGCACCAGTGAAGGGTGATTGATGAGAATGAAAACAGGCCAGTTAGCCCATCATGATGAATTCATCAGGAATTAACCATGTTAGTTTCTAGGGGGAACCGCGAGGTCGACCTGGATGGGTATATTGCTAGCAATGGGATTCTCAGTCTCCATTACTAACAATCTCTTTCTCCCTAAGCCGCCGTAGTTCGGCTTCATGTTTTAAGAGGGACGCTGCATTCCTTCCTTCGATCATTAAGTTCACATAGTCGCTTCTTACGACAACCATGGGAAAGGAAGGGATGATCCATTTTATTTCGGGGCCGCACGGCAAAATACTAATAACCGACAATAATTAATATATAATATATAAAATTCTCGTGTCACGGTGTTTGTCACCAAACTCCTCCGAAACGGCATAACCGATTTTTATGAAATTTTGTGTGCATATTGGGTAGGTCTGAGAATCGGCCAACATCTATTTTTCATACCTCTCAATGAAAAGGGTAACGCACCCCTAAATATATTTTTTTTTATTTTATTGATAAAATGTTTTATTTTTATTATATTATGGTTGAGCATTGAAAAATACATACAAATTCCAATTTTCACGCTTTTACGATCAACCCCTGTTTTTTAATCGCGATTTTTATATACCGCATTAGGGTTGTAAGATGGTAATCGAATATAATAATTTTAGTAGGATAAATATTCATGTATAGTTCTAGAAATAATGTATATGGTAAAACAACGTTTGCCGAGTCAGTTAGTTGGTATATAAATTGTAGTAGATGGAGTTTTTGTGTTTTTCTTGATGTCTTAGTCTATTGAATTATATTTTTTTTATATTAATTTGCAAAAAATGTATACAAACTGACAGCCTACCTATAGGCAAGTAGTAACAACTATTATCTATAGTCATGAAAATATGGACGTCACAGAGTATACTGTGATGCTTATGGTATCACTGATGCATCCATTTATATTATTTTATGATGACTAAAATACTTTGTCTCCCGTTTATAACTGTACTACAAACACAAATGTAGTCATACAAGCATAGCTGCTGCCGATTTTTGTATAAAGTCATAATTTTGGTGATTCAATATTAATTAATTGCAATATGCACTAAAGGTAGGAACTGTACTGAACTATGATAGGTAATAAAAATACCGTATAGTGTACCCATTAAGGATTAAATTAAAAGCACCCGTAACTGGCGAGCGTGTATGAAAAATTTAAAAGATTGATGTATGTGGAGGAAGCGTAAGTGGCTCGTTTGAAATGAAGCATTTGGCGTTACATTGTTTCTGCCTTTCCCAATGGAGGAAAGGCGTGTCTAGTACATTGAACAAAAGACATGAAATATGTCCTAATAAAATATGGATGAACTTAATGTCGCGTACCACATTTTGAACAGCGACATCTAGTTTCCTTGCAGGTACTAATATTAATACAAACAATGTAACTATCTTAAATGATAAGACTATTAACAACAATTATTAATTATAACAATAATTATGGACAGAAATTATTTAGATTTCAAATCAATATTTAAAGTATTCAAATAGACTTTATTTAAATTTATTATTTAATTTTGAATTTTTTTTATACAACTTAGAATGGCAGACAAGCTGACGGTCCACCTGACGGAAAGCGGTAACCGTTGCCTATAGACATGAGCAATACCATGGACATAACAGAGTATACTGTTTCGTCCATGATACCCCCCATGTGTTGCCATTCCTGAGGACTCAGATGTTAGTCCTCTGTACCCTGTAAATTCACGCCATATCCCATTCCTTCAAACCGAAACACAGCCATGCAAACACAACTGCTTTACGGTTGAAACACGAATGCGACAGAGGTACCCAAGCAAACGACTTTTGTACAAAGTCTCCCTCTGGTAATTTTTTTATGAAATATAAAATTTAATATTGCAGGCGCGGACGCAGAGTGTTCCTGTTACAAATGCTGGTACTGTGTTTTGTGCCACACGCGGCGCTAGTTGCTCAGAATTGCGAGATTATAACTCAGCTATCTAGTACTCTGGACTCCTCCCTGTATTTGGATTCTGAGGTTGGTATTTCTTATTTCTTAGTACTTTATACTATATGAAAAAAAACTCGATTAACAATATGTACACAAATGAATAATTAATTACATAAACTTAATTATATAAAAGCAGGATAAAGAGGCAACAATGGTCGGGCTTATTGCTAAATAGAGATAATTCTCAGGTAACCTTAGGATGGCGAGGAATAATTAAAATTGTGTCTGGCCAAGACTTAACAGAAAAATAATAAGACTAAAAAAGAAAGGGAAAAGGTCTAAATTTAAACGCAGTATAAACAGTATATATGTATACATTTATATTCATGAGTTTGTACGTATTATAAGTAAGCCACGAATGCAATAAATAAATGGAAAATTTTCAGCAAGTGCGACCCCAATCCAACTTCGGTGGAAATTTATACTTTGCTTTCAACTTTTAAACCCCCAGAAAAGCCGATGTCCTCAAAATATAAAAGGAAGCATTTTATAAAATACTTTTTTGGGATATCAATTTTTCTTACAATTGAAAACTAAAGTTGACTAAAAAAAAAGTTCAATGAAATTAAACATAAATCATATTTACTGGAAATCATTCAAATGTCTGTTTTCAATCTACTCGTAATATGCAATGTTGCTGTTTTTTTTGCACAGAAAGAAATCCATACGATGACCAGTATCATAGAATCTATCTAATAAAGTTTTTTTAGCACCTTATCTTATTAATATATCCAATGCGAATGTGTTGCAATAACCGAGGCTGCTGCAGTTGTACATAAGCTAGGAATAAATAGTTATAGCATTAGATTCTTATCTGACAGCGCAGCAGTACTAAAAACATTACGAAACAACAAGACAAACAACAAACTAATAATTGAATGCCACCATTCACTGGATAGGATATCTTCCAATAACCGAGTTATCCTCCAAAGGATAAGAGGGCACAGTGGATCTTATGGTAACGATGCCGCAGACGAACTAGCTAGAAAAGGCTCAGGAACGAGGGTGGTAGGCCCGTATCCACTCCTTCCTCTTCCATTCTCACAACTTCGAATGTGGATTCGTCAAAGATCCTCTGACATACAAAACCAAAGATGGATACAGGCTACTGATTGCAGACAATCAAAATTGGCCGTACCTATGTTGAATCAACGACTATCAAAACGTTTATTACATCTAGACAGAAAAAACCTCAAAACAATGATAGGGACAATAACGGGTCATTGTCCATTAATCAAACATCTATACACAATAGGAGCCACAGACAGCCCTCTATGTCGAGGCTGTTTCGACGCCGAACGAAACGGCTATTCACGTAATCCTGGAATGTGAGGCTGTGGCCCATCAACGTTTAGAAATCCTCGGAACGGTGAGGTCGCTCCGTGAGGCCTGTGAAGAACCCAGGAAGCTTCTGCGCTTCTGGACGAAGCTAGGTTGGCTGCACTAGCTACGACTCATACGCACAATGGCCCAAGTGAGAGGCTAAGCGCGGAAAATGGAGTCCTTTTCACATTCACATTCACATTCACATTCTTATTAATATAATGAAATTGTAAATAGATGATGTTTGTTCCGGGATTACGCAAAAAACGATTGCATCAAATTGGTTGCACAGCTGTATCCTTGAAGGTCTTACTTAAAACTCGTGTAGGTTTTATCTAGATATGTTTTTTATTTATGAAAAATTTGGTTATTTATATTTATTTAGTTTTGCGTATTTATGTTTATTTAAAAGTTTACTTACTAGCTTATTGACTGTTACGTCGTATCGGGCAATAAGCTAGTAAGTAAACATTTTTGGAGCCAAATGTAATAAGAACTTGATGTTGAATAGAATTTCGAATGACAAGTATCACTCACCGGCTACGGGTCTGGTATCAATGGACACCCAAAATTCGAGTCCAAACTTCGGAATTAGATTACACGATAGATCCACCCCTACTGAATACCTAAACATTGTGCATGGTGATTTTATCGCAATCGAATTAGGGCCACCAATTGCGGCTTTTGATATTTACCCAAACATCAAATATTTTATCTCCAAATTGATACTATTTGCGGAATTTTTGTCTAATCACAAACTTAAATCGTTTTTCACTTTCGCCATGTACTATTTTACGGTGTGTTTCGTACAAAGCGAACGACGTAAAAGAATTCTTACCTTCATTTCTACTTTTACCTGTGATTCTCTAATTCCGTTCTCTGTTTTGCTACGTTCATTTATATATTTATATTTTTATACATTTTGCACATATCAGAACTGCCCAAACAATATTGTCTACATTTATCCGAGTCCATTTCATTTTTCTCCAAAAGTTTCTCCAAGATTGTCATTTTGTCCAAAATTTTACGAACAGAATTTTTTTTCACAAATTTGCGAAAAGTACGTCTGGAAACATTTAATTGAATAAAATGCAAATAATTGATGTTATTAGAAATCATGTGTACTCTTTTTTCCACAAAAAGGTTTTGTAATAAATACTCGACCGGTTATAAATAGAAGTAATCTTTATTTGAATTGATTTGTTTACAAGCTCTTTGAGTCATCATTATTTTCAATCGATTCCAAAATGAAGGAGCTCCTCAATTGAGGTTGTATTTTTTATGTTTGTTACCTCATAAGTTCGTCAGTTTTAAACCGATTTGGAAAATTCTTTTTTATCGGAAAGGATATATTTGTTGATTGATCTCATAGAAATTATATCAAAATTGGTTTAGTAGTTTAGTTTGTAAATTAAAATAACTGGTTTTGTCATAAAGTTGTTTTTTTTTTCTGGGAGACAATCTTTAATTATGTTTTTTTTTTTGTTATTTCCAAATAGTCGTTTATATCAAATGACATGTTTTTCTCGTTTGGTATTTGTAACAAAGCTATTATAAGAAATGTTATATGATAGGTATAATGATCAAGAAAAAATACGCGACCAAAAAATCTCCATATTAATGTATTCAAATACGAGTAGCAATTGTTGTCACCTCTGAAGGTTATATGGAAGAGATGAAATAAGCTCACCTTTGTAGATTCTTCTGATAATTTTTTTGTGTGCGACCTTTACTAATATTGGAAATTGAAAAGCGAGTTTGTTTATTTATTCATTGGATACGTTTGGTGGCTTAACGGTTCAGTATATCGTCGTGAAAATATATTGTACATAGATTATTTGGGATGGAGAAACACGTGGGTACCTTTATCCTGATCAATGTTTCGATATCGTTGACAGACAGAAAATTAATTGAATAATAAAGGAAGGAACATCGTCAATAGCCTCATCATCTCAGCCATTATCTGTCCATTGCTGAAAATAGCTCTCTCCCATTGATTGCCATAACGGTTCTGAGTCACCTGCATTTACTGACTCCCTGCAATGTATTTGAGGTCGTCACTCTATCTAGTGGGGGGGTCGTCCAACACTGCATTTACTGGTACGGTGTCACTATTCAGGAACCTTTCTTCCCCATCGGTTGTCGATTCTTCGAGCTATGTGACTAGCCCATTGCCATTACAGTTTGCTTAACACTTTTTTATTTTTTCTATTTCTCTTTTCTATTTTTTATTATATGTATCCCGTGACTCTACCAGCGTGAATAAAAACTTAAAGTATCCTAAGTGCTAAATTAGGATATAGTCCACCTGTGTACTAAATTTCATTTAAATCCGTTAAGTAGAGAGAGACTTAGTACAGAAGTCTTTTGCTTGGTTACCTCTGTCCCATTCGTGTTTCAACCGTTAAGCAGTTGTGTTTGCGTGGCTGTGTTTCGGTTTAAAGGGTGGGATAGGCAGTTAATTTACTGGGTACAGAGAAATAACATCTGAGTTCTCAGGATTGGAAACGCATGGGGTGCTTCATGGGCGAAACAGTACACTCTGTTATGTCCATGGCACTGCTCATGTCTATAGGCGACGGTTACCACTTTCCATCAATTGGGCCGTCAGCTTGTTTGCCATTCTAAGTTGTATAAAAAAAAGTAGTTTTTTTTTCATGCATGAGTAATATACATCTATTTTTATAAATTTTCGTACTTATAATATCAAAAGGATTATATACATACTAGCTGTTTCCGGCGGTTTTGTCTGTATTTATCAGTATGTAAAATATCATACGTGTTAAATAATGTACCTATGTATAAAAACCATTGAGCCGTTTAAGCGTAATTGAGTAACAAAGATCTAAACATCCAAATATAAATAAGTATTTACTAAGAATAGTTTTTAGTTTTATGTTTTTTCTCTTAATAAAATAAAATTAAAAAAAAAAAAAAAACTACAATACAATATTCAAGAAGTATGCAATTGGTAGATCGCACGGGGTTTCGTCAGTAAACAGTAGATCTTGGGTCTAGTCAAGTAGGCCACTCCTGATCTACAGACATTGTAAAGGTGTAATTTTTTTTAAATTAATAAAATAAGAAGAAGTAATGTTTACACAATTATTAACTCACTACGATACGTATAAGAAAATTTAATTTTCTCTCAATTAAATTAAATTTCAACGTAGATTGTATTCTTCCAATACATCATCGCGAGCAATCTGATATCACGTCTTCTCGTCATATCGGATACGATCTTGGAGAAAATTTATTGTAAAATGCTGAAGGAAAATTATTGTATCAGTCGATGCCTGCGACTTTGTCTACGTGGAACTGAGTTTTATACCCCTTATTTGAGAAATAAATGATGCCGCATACAAACTTTCATCTCCTATTTCACTAATCCTATTAATATAATAAATAAGAAAGTTAGTAACAACTACAATAAATGGAGGGATTTACGCATAAACTATTGAATGAAATTTTGTACACGAATAGGTTATACACTAACAGTGGCGTAGCTAGGTAACCAAAGCTCTGGGGTATAAAACAAACTAGAGCCCGAACTATTTAAAATAGTTTGTTCCGTATTCGTCGTGTTCCCAATTCGACGTACTTCATATTCGTCGTAATCTAGATTCGTCAATGAGTCAAAGTCCGAGGGGCCCCCTGAGATTGGGGGCCCCGGTGCACTGCCCCGTCTAGCCCTCCGGTAGCTACGCCACTGTACATTAATTTAGCATATAGGAGAGCTTATGTCCTGATTTACTCAGGTGGAACTACGGGATATACACGGGAGACGGCAATTCACCTGTTTACGGCAAAGCGTCTGTATTGAGTCACTACACAGAGGTGTATGATGTATTGATAATTATAGTGTATATTAAAATGAGTATGTGTGTGTGTTTATTAATGTGTGTGTTACAGCGCTTGGTACCAGCTGGTCTCATTATCACGTACCTTTATGCAGTGCCTCAATAATAATGATATCCTTTATGCGTTGCAATTCCTGAGGACTATGTTGTTATGTCTCTGTACTCTATGTTTTCGTTGTTATATTTTTCTTTTAAAACAGAAACACAGCCATGCAAACATAACTGCTTCACGACAGAAACTCGAAGGGGATAAAAACAGATGACTTACGAAGTCTCCCTGGTAGCTATTAAAGTTTGTTTTCAGTCATTGGTCTTTCAGTTTATGGTATGTCAATTAAGAAGTAGGTAACTTTTAAATTACTTCTTGAATTAGAAACACTCGTATCAAGTTCTAAATTAATACGTAAGTTTCCATCTTCATTCTAGATAATTTAATACAGATCTGTATCTGTATTAAACTGACCCTGTGGTCAGAGTATACCGAACCAAATTATATTATTAATGAAATTAAACAATTTAATCCGACAAGAATAGTCTAGGACTTAAACTATTTTTTCAAGTTCTCATACTAAATCGATCACGTGATCGTGTGGCTTCTATGTAAATTTTAAAAATGATGTCGTTATCTGTAGTTTATATAAAGCTATAATTTATTATTATTTTACTAGAGGGAGACTTTGTACAAAAGTCGATTGCTTGGGTATCTCTGTCCTATTCGTGTTTCTACCGTGAAGCAGTCGTGTTTGCATGGCTGTGTTTCGGTTTGAAGGGTGGGCTATGACGTGAATTTACAGGGTACAGAGGAATAACACCTGAGTCTTCAGGAACGGCAACGCATGGGGGGTATCATGGGCGAAACAATTTTTTATGTCCATGGTACAATCGTCTATAGGCGACGGTTACCACGTTCCAAAAAATGGGCCGTCATTGTATGCCATGCTCAGTTGTATAAAAAAAATTATTATATTATGTATTCATAATATATAACTATGAAACTAACTGTGTACCATGTTTTTGTTAAAGTTATTAGTTGGTAAAGTTGCTGTTTGGTCCCAGCACAGAATGGGCCATCTCTTCCTTTCCTGCGGGAGTATTAAGAAGCGACTAAAGGAAATTAATGGTCGAGGGATGGGCAGCAGCTACTCTCGTTAAACATCCCCAAAGTCTAACTGCGGTTGTTAGTGCGTCTGCCAAGCGTGACAACTACTAGCGAAGATGCTTTCGTTAATTGCTGAACATAAGCATCTTCGTAGCTACCTAATACGAAGATTCGGGGGGAAAGGGATTGTTAGTAATGGAGACTGAGAATCCCATTGCTAGCAATATACCCAACCAGGTCGACCATCTCGCGGTTCTCTCTGGAAACTATCATGGTTAATTCCTGATGAATTCGTCATGATGGGCTAACTGGCCTCTTTTCATTCTCATCTATCACCCTTCACTAGTGCTCCGCCGGCGTATCACGTTAGCGCAGGCGGGGTTACTGTACCATTTTCACCCATAAAAAAATACGTAGATGCTTATGTTCAGCAGTTAACGTCTGATGTGATGATGATGATGAAACAATAGTTCGATTTTGATAAAACTAATATGGGACCATTATTCATTGAAGAAAAAAATTTGTTTAATCAGAATTGATGTAAATGTTATCCAAAATATACAAAAATGAAATAAGGTGAATTGAAAGCTCTATATTTTGTAGCTTAGTTTATTGTGTTGCCGGCACGAGAAAAATAATGATAACCAACATAGAGAGAGAGCTTGGAGATAAATAGTTTAATATTTACTGAAACCCACTATCCTAATTCAATTTGGAGATTCCATTTCAAGTAAACTTAGTAGAAAGGGAAGGGATATTTTTGAATACAGGTTTCGAAGAACTTGTTTACGCATTTTCTGTTATAGTCAAAGACTAAAACTAAGCAGTATAAAAACGAATAGAAAATATTTTAAAACGTATCATAGAAGCTCTTTTATATGATACACCACTTGGCTAGTCCAAGTGGTATTTGAAATTTTAAAATTTTATTTTCATAATGGACTTACTAGTACCAACTTTTGGCCTCTAGTAAAGAAAATCAGAATATTTATTTAATTAATTCCTATGGTATATAAGGAAGCCAGGATTTCCTAAAACCATTCCAAAATGCAGTCCGAAAGCGTGAGTGTTGTGATAGATGGTTGGTCGGACGAATGGACAGAGGGACAGTACTCATATAGTAAGGGTTTCTGTGTATATTTTGGCACGTAACACTAAAAATATATACAAAATTTATATCTGCTATTTAACAAAGCTCCATTATCACGTAAAATCCCCAACAACATAAAACTGTTTATGTAAAGGTCTCAAGAATATGATAAATAGGGTATGACACAGCCTGCCCACGCAAAAATGGAGGTTGGCAGGCTTGGATATAATTTGCAAACGAGCGATCTACGCAAATATTATAAGCAAGGGTGGTGAGTAACTACATTATAGTAGTAAAGGGAGAATTATTTTGTCTAAATTATCGCGCATTCTTAAATTCACTATTGACTAGACATGCATAATGTGTATGATCCGATATTTATAAATTTTACCAGATTGCTTGGGTACCTCTGTCCCATTCGTGTTTCAGTTGTGAAGCAGTTGTGTTTAAGGATGGGGTATGGCTGTGTTTAGGTACAGGTAACACCTTGAATGGCAACGCATGGGGGGTATATGGGCGAAACAGTGAATTGTTATTTCTATGGTACAGAGGAATTAACTTTCCATCAGGTCGTCAGCTTGTTGCCATTCTTAGTTGTATAAAAAAAAATATTGGGTTCTTCTGGACATTGATGGCGTAACAGAGTCATTATTCATTTCAATATCGCCCATGTCTGTCGGATAATTTGTTAAAAGTCTGTTATCCAACATTATATTTTGGATAACAGACTTTTAAGATATTTGTTCTTGGCCCAGTATATAGATATTGTAAATAGAATATATATATATATATATATATATATATACTGATAAATAAATAATCATCATTATCATATCAGCCCTTAACTGTCTACTGCTGAACGTAAGCCTTGGGGGGTTTTGCCAGTAGTTGCCATACTTGGCAGACGGATCGGTAACCGTAGTCAGGCTTTAGAGATGTTTTAAGAGGGACGCTGCTGCCCTCTCTCGCCGTCTCTTAGTCGTCTTTTATAACATCCACGAGAAAGGAAGAGGTGGCCGGGACCACACGGCCACTGTCCACAATTTTATTACTGCCGTTTTGAAACAACGTGCGATAGTTTAAAATTAAATATCATATATTGAACAGGCCCCTGCAGTCCCAGTATAGAATAGGCCACCCTTTCCTTTCCTGCGGTAACACATAAGAGGCGACTAAACGAACTTATTACTAATGACTAACAAACTTGTTCAATATAAATTTACCATGAAAGATTTTAACACATGGATATGTGCATACATACATATATGTACATAAATATGCAAGCATATATATAGGTATATGTGTCTCTGTGAGAGTCAACGTTTATCTCAAAGAGACATATTTGACAAACGATATAAAGACGGTTAACTGCCATACCTTACTGACTTCAAACGCAGATACCCACCGTTGGGGGCACGATGGATATGCCCACAATCCTAAGAGACATGTGATGTCATATTTTCACGTTTTATTGAGGTCTTGAGGTCGATAGGCTGACGATATTATATCGGATGCCTTTATACTTTTACATTTTATAGGATAAATAATTTACTGGTGTTTGCCCCATGTTTTTGCTCACTCAGATCTGTATCCCATATATATCTCAACAGTTAACTTAACCGTCAATTTATATATATATATAAAATGTGACAACAACCTTTTTTGAGGGGGGGAAAAAATTCAGATTCACTAAGAGAACACTTTGCTAAAAGGATGCTAATTACTTAGATGTACCACCAGAGGGAGACTTTGTACAAAAGTCGATTGCTTGTAGAGGTACACAAGCAATCGACTTGTACAAAGTCTCCCATTTGTATTTTAACCGTGAAGCAGTTGTGTTTGCATGGCTGTGTTTCGGTTTGAAGAGTGGGATATAGCGTGAATTTACTGGGTACAGAGGAATAACACCTGAGTCCTTAGGAATGGCAACGCATGGGGGGGGGGTGGATCATGGGCGAAACAGTGTACTTTATTATGTACATGGTACTGTTCATGTCTATAGGCGACGGTTACCATCAGGTGGGCCGTCAGCTTGTTTGTCATTCTAAGTTGTATAAAAAAAAATGTGTTTTATATTTTAAATTAAAATATTTTGCGGAAACGAATAACTTCACTACATTAATTCCAACAGATCAACGAGGCATTGTTAGTCGGGAGCGCTGTGATGAGTCTTCAGAACGAGAGACAAGTGGTCAACAACAATTCGTATTTCACACAGGATCCAAGCGCCATGTGAGTGTAATATTAAATTAATTAAATAACTTTACTGATCAAATGAGAGTGTAGTACATTAAAGTAGTAATTACAGATTGTGTTTCACAAAAATAAAACAGACTTCAATTTGAGTTAAAATCAGATATTATCATTTCAAAACTAAACCACAGAATCGATTTTGATTAACATTCCATGGAATCCATCTGTTAGATAGTCCTTTCAGATACAGAATTTTCCAAATTAATTCAGAACTGACAGATTTATGAGGTCGTACCTCATAAAAAATACAGCCGAGAACTTCCTTTTTCAAATCGGTTAAAAAGGCGAACATAATAGTAATATTCTATACCAGGTCAACTTTTGGTATGAACGATGGGATGAAGAAATCGAAATTGGAATAAAATGTATTTGCATCTTAGTTTTTTTTAACCACGGTATATCGAACCTTTGATTTTAGCTGTTCTGTATTTAATAGTAATTAAACTTTATTGAATAATGGAACTTTATAGGTTAATATTTATTATTATTATTTTTTATACCAAACAAGCATGCGACCTACCTCATGGTAAGTGTTTACCATAGCCTGTGAACGCCTGCAATAGCAGGGACATTACGCGCGCATTTCTGACCCTAAAGAAACCTCTTTACCCGTCTTTTGAAGAACCACATGCTGTAGTCTTATGGAAAAACCTCGATAGGGAGCTCATTAAATAACTTGAGTGTCATGGGAGAAGACATCTCTGAATCTGTACTGTACGTGAGACTCTAAGGTATGAGGGTGAACTCCCCGTCGATGGTGAGCTGTACGATGGTAGAACGTGGCCGTGGGCATCATATTGAACGATTTCTCTGAGCACAGTCTGTTGTATAAGCGTTAGAATACGCAGAGTGAGGCAATTTTTTTTTTACAACTTAGAATGGCAAACAAGCTGACGGCCCACCTGATGGAAAGTGGTAGCCGTCGCCTATAGACATGAGCAGTCCCATGGACATAACAGAGTATACTGTTTCGCCCATGATACCCCCATGCATTGCCATTCCTGAGGACTCAAGTGTTATTCCTCTGTACCCAGTAAATTCACGCCATATCCCACCCTTCAAACCGAAACACAGCTATGCAAACACAACTGCTTCACGATTGAAATACGAATGGGACAGAGGTACTCAAGCAATCGACTTTTGTACAAAGTTTCCCCAGAGACCAGAGTCTCTCTGTAAGACTTAAGGGTTCGATTTATTATGTACTATACAACCCGTATAATACCGTACAACCCGCTACAAACTAAAGTTCCATCCCAACCATCTGGATGAGTGGTGGTCCTCCACCTGCATTATTTCAGGCAGCAGTATTTCAGAACCGATACGACATCATAATCTTCAAGAAAAGAGCATATTCCTTTATAAAAAGTCGGCAGCACACCTGCAATGCCTCTGGTGTTGCGGGTCATCATAGGCGGCGGTAGTCACTTGCCATCACTTACTATTTTCATAATAATTGTAGTGTTTGTTTCCCTGATAACATATAACAAAATATTCATGAATTAATATTGTATTTTGAATGATATTATTTTACTTTAAATAATTACTTGTACACCTTTTGATTATAGAGAGCTTATTAAATATATTTTAACAATTTATTCCCAACTATGTTTCACAAATAAATTATTGACTGAAAATAAATAAGAAGAATTTGGTGTCGGCGAGATTCGACCTCACGATTTTTGCGTTCTAGTCGAAGTAATATACCACTGTGCTATGACGCTCTCTAATTGTACTCATATTTTACATATATAAATGTTTTCTTAGACATTTCATAATATCTATAATTCCAAAGATTTCTTCAACCACTTTGTGCACGCAAGTTTGTATAGAATTACTCCAGTATCTGAAAAGCTTGTGGTGTTTCAAAAGGGAGATAAATATTCTCGATAAAATAAAATTCTTGTTTATTCTAGCCAATTATATATATCGTTGTCTCGGCAACTAACAAAAGGAAAAAACAGTTCATTACAACGTGTTTATGGCAAATGAGTACGTCAGCGTCATTACTTTATTCGATTTTCAAAAGGATTATGCTCAATTATGACTATTTATGTCAATAGGCGACGGTTATCATTTCCCATCAGTTGTTTGTTTACCATTCTAAGTAGCATAAAAAAAAACTCTCAATTTGTATGTATTTTTTCATTTAATTATGCAACGTTTTTGTAACATGATTTCCTAATGATTTCCATCAAATTTTATAATCTTTAAACAATATTAAATCATAAACAAAATATTTTACGCATATTTTACGACACGTGTTTCACCTCTAAACGAGGCATATTCAGGCGAATTGTTAGAAAATGCGATATTTTTTTTTTATACAACTTAGAATGGCAAACAAGCTAACGACCCACCTGATGGAAAGTGGTAACCGTCGCCTATAGACATGAGCTGTACCATGGACATAACAGAGTATTTTGTTTCGCCCAAGATACCCCCATGCGTTGCCATTCCTGAGGACTCAGGTGTTATTCCTCTGTACCCTGTAAATTCACGCCATATCCCATCCTTCAAACCGAAACACAGCCATGCAAACACAGCTGCTTCACGATTGAAACGCGAATGGGACAGAGGTACTAAGCAATCGACTATTGTACAAAGTCTCCCTCTCTTTATAGAAAACTGTGAATATTTGAATATCATAATTACGACGTTTACGTAAGACCAGTACGCGTGTATATAATGCCGCACACGCCAGAACTGTGGTTTTGGAACGAAATGCACGATCCCTTCCTTTCCTGTGGGTGCTGTAAGAGGCGACTAAGAGAACTTAATGGTCAAGGGATGAGCAACAGAGTACTTCTTAAAACATCACCAAAACCTAACAACTGCGGTTGTCAACCCGTCTGCCAAGAGTGGCAATTACTGGCAAAACCTCCCTTATAGGGGAGGCCTACGTTCAGCAGTGGACAGTTAATGGTTGATATAATAATATATTATAATAAAAAAGTCGGAAGTGACTATTTTTGACCCCCTGTGTCGCCCATGAAAAACCTTTTAAAGGCATATTTTATTACACGCTTGTTACGAATTTTAATACACTGCTCTCACCATAGATATAGAGTCACGTGCTTTTAATAATAACATCCAGAATGAATGAAAGAAAGAAAACATTTGTTGCTAACAACAAAAAGAGTTACATTAATTATCAATAGAAAACAAACTTCACATTTGTTATTGACAACGTGGCCGCCACTCAGCATGTGCTGCAGCAAATTAATTGTTACAGCGCTGATATTCTGTGGTGGGCATGCGTGACATCACAAAGGAAGACAGCAAAAAGTAAATAACTAAATAAATAAAAATATAGTGAAACATAGAAATAGTTGTTGCTCATACAATTATGTATATTCATGTACTGTATGTACATGAATATACATAATTACACATACACACTACATATATATATATGCTCGTACATATACTGCAGACAAGACATACACATATACATATAAAAATAAATAGTATTGAGAATCTTCATATTATACAATGAAGTAATAATGTCATACGATCACAAAAATATACATGCTTTTTTTAGATTTAAATAATAATTCTATAATTTTAATACATAATAAAAAAAAATACAATTGAATCGTGAATGTCCTTCTTTTTTTAAGTTGGCTCAAAATAAAGATTGATAGCAAATATCGTGAAATTTTTGGTTGCCACAAACTGTTTACGATACACGTAAAAACTCCGTATAATGCGATGTCGCTCTTGTCCCCAGAGACGAAGTACAAATGCCTGGAATTGACACATATTGATTCAAAGCTATAGAAGCTATATATATCTTAAATATATATTGATGGCCAGTTTTATAATTCATCGTCCCACGGTACGAGATTTTTAGTATGATTTTATTTATTTATTTAAATTTTATGTCCATAATATAGGTACATATGGCGGACACAACAGCTAAACGCGTTCTCCATCAGTCAAACATGTGGCGAGCAGTGTTTTAAAATAATTAAAAATAATTTAGGAGAGCAAAATATATACAAAGTATAAACTTTGTACATATACAAAGTTTCGCCAAGTACCAACAATAATAATTAAATTATCTATATATAGCATAGGAATAAATAGAATAGAAAATATTTATTGCCAGAAAAACACAATTACAACAGAAAATACATATACAATTTATATATTTTATAATAACTTGAATACAATTTCCATTATTTATATTATATTATTATTCATATTGTTAATATCTTTACTCATTTAATAATTTAATTCTATTTTAATGTTTGTTAAACACAAGGCATGTTGTGGTTGCCTATAAATGTAAGAACAGTGAGATCTGATCTGCCAGTGTATTGTATCAAAATTTAGCTTTATTGTAGCTGTATCTTATGTTGGTAATCCTATAAATAAATAAATAAAATAAAATACAAGAAGTGTCTCATATTAGGCAAAAGGAACTGGCTCAGCTGATGCTGCGAGTGTCCCAGCGCAATATGTACAGCTGCACAGCGCTGGTTTTCAGCCAGTCGCTCTCTTAACAAAATACAACAAAAATGCAAATTGGTACAAATGCATATATTTTATTTATATTCATATACATACTTTACTGGTTACTTTGTTTAAGTCATATACTGTTTACTTTTTTTTTTATACAACTTAGAATGGCAAACAAGCTAACGGCCCACCTGATGTAAAGTAGTAACTTCGCCTATAGACATGAGCAGTACCATGGACATAATAGAGTATACTGTTTCGCCCATGATACCCCCCATGCGTTGCCATTCCTGAGGACTCAGGTGTTATTCCTCTGTACCCAGTAAATACACGCCATATCCCACCCTTCAACCCGAAACACAGCAATGCAAACACAACTGCTTCACGGTTGAAACACGAATGGAATATATTTATATACATACTTTACTGGTTACTTTGTTTAAGTCATATACTGTTTTCTTTATTTTTCTAATATAGTTAATTAAATTAAAATTCAAATCGTCTTTATTCAAATAGACTTGTTTACAAGCACTTTTAAATCGTCATCTATTTATGAATGTTGTTATCTCTTGCGAAGAACCCGCAAGAAATTCAATAGTTACTCTTTTAAATCTCTGTCAATATTACGTGTATTGATATAATTGTACTATTTCTGTACATCACAGAGTATATTCTGTGACTACACGGTCATTAAAAAGCCCGTGCATGATCGACCATCGATCATGCATATTTGGCATTATTTTGATATGGTAATATTTTATGTCTTTATTTTATCTATGTATATGATTATTTTTATTATATATTTTGTGTACGTTTATATTAGTCTAATTGTATATTTATAAGATATGAATATGTTAAGTATTACTTTATGTTTCCTCAATTCATAAATAAACCGCCTATCTATTTCTTTGTTTGCTCAACATTTGACTAGTAGACCGTTCGGTGTTCACTCAGCCAATTACATTTACACTGTTAATTAAAGTTTAAATAAATAAATAAATATTGATATTATTAGAAAAATACATTAATTCTTCCACAAGCAAAGGGTTTATAATATTTACTTGAGTGGTATTGTTCTTGGCATTTTCAGAGATTAATTTTTATACTATTTTTTTTCCGGTACAGAGAATTGTAGGATGAATGGAAATTATTTAGATAGAACGGAACGGATTCAATAATAAATTAATCTACGGAATACATAATTAATCTATTTTGGCAACATTACATTTTCACGCGTGGCTACTACAGAATATTAGCGCTGTAACAATTAATTTGCTGCAGCCCATGCTGAATGGCAGCCAAATGGCAATAACAAATGTAATTATTTTCTATTGATAATAATTAATGTAACTCTTTTTGTTGTTGGCAATAAATGTTTTCTTTCTTTCTTTCTTTTAAATAGTACCTGATATTGTGATATGTTTTCTCTATTAAATTCATCAATTTGTTTCTATTGACTTCCAGCCATTCTTCAATTAATTGCATTTGAACAAATTATAGCCCTAGCCAAAGAAACCGGTCCAGTATTAATTATAAAATCTTTTTGTAGGTACAAGTGTTTTCTGATAATATCAATATATATGCAATTATTATGGAGATGCTTTTAATTATGCCGCGACGATGCACGAGATCGTGCACCGCAAGACGATATGACGATGTCGCAGACATGCACGGAAATTTAATAGAGTCGTCATCACTTTATCTTACTAATATAAGATTGTAACTAGATGATGACTGTACATAGAGAATATTTAAAATAATAATAATATGGGGGTTATTATTACGATTAATTCGCCATGTGGCTCTGGCATAGAATTTTTTTCACTCCTTTCTTTCCCGTCGATGTCTTCAGAGGCGACGGGCAGTAGCGTCCCTCTCTTTAAACATCACCAAAGTCAAACTGCTCTTACCATCCCGCCTGCCAAGCGTGGTAACTGTTGGTAAAATCCTTATTTACTAGTTTAGCAATAGATAGTTAACTAGGATGGATAAGACCAATAGATTCAAATATTGTATTTTTTTTTAATTTTATATCTGTATGTTGTATGTTCCGGTATCATGCAATTATAACTGCATCGAATTAATTCTTCTCTTTCTGCGTCTAGGGAAGTAGATAAAGTTTTGTTTGAGAAATCAGTTCAGGGTACGATAGGACTGATATACTTGAAGAAGGTAAAAGCCCTTAAATTATAAAAAAATATATAAAAAAACTGCATCGAATTGGATGTGTTAATCTCAGTTGTGTTCCTAAAAGATCTACCTTAAAATCTGTTGTAAGAGTATGTTTTTTTTTGATAGGTGATAATGAAATAGTAACCCCACTCGCGCTATCGGTATACGCTGATACCAGTGAAGGATGATAGACGAGGATGAAACAGGTCAGTTAGTCTATCGTGACGAATTCAATGAGAATTGTTCACGATGGTTTCCAGGGGGGACCACGTGGAGGTTGATCTCATAGGGCATATATCCCTTCCCCCCTAAGAGTATGTTTTATCTTTATATGCTATCTATAAATGGTATATTTTATTGATTTTCTTACTTTTGAAATCCACATGTACGAAGTAAAAGTAAATAGTAAAAGGCAATTGCATAAATTTTTAAGCGTCTTCAAATGAAAGTTTGAGAACTTGCTTTTGAAGACTTTCTTTGATTTTGTTTTGTAACTATGTAACGTAATTAAGGTTGCCATTTCTAAATAGATTTTTTAAATTATTTTGATAATCGATTTCCTGTTTCTTAAACGATTTGGTCCCATATTAAAAGATGTCATCTTGTCATGATTGAAGCTGCTCTTTTTCAACACACGATTCTCTATTCCAAATTAAAATATTTATAATGTAGGGTAGGTATTTATGAAAATTCTCGTATGTAGAGTATCCTATAAATTCGCCTTTGGAGTGGGCTGAACTATTTCATGTCGACACGTTGGGACTTTTTGTGCTTTCCTCTGCTTTATGCTATCATTTTATAGATTATTGTATTATTACCTTTACTATATCCTGTCGTACAAAACATCTCGTGGATTCGGATAAGCTGTTACCAGTAGACTCATACACATGCTTGTCATACATATTTTGATTTCTTACTGCAAAATCTGTATAGTATGATATATGCTTTACCGACATGTGTCCAGTAGTTTTTTTTAATTGATAATAATGGATTTGTAACCCCACCTGCGTTGTCGGTATATGCTGGTGGGGCACCAACGAGAGATGATAGTTGAGGATGAAAGCAGATCAGTTAGCCCATCGTGAAAAATTTTACGAGAATAAATCACCATGGTTTCTCAAGGAAACCACGTGGAGGTCCACTTGGTAATACCCGAAATTGCTAGCAAAGGGGTTGTTAGACCCCAACACTAACAATCCCTTTCCCCTTGTATCTAGTAGTATGTATAGTATATAAAGTAGGTAAGTAGTTATGAAACATATGAACAGAAACATGATCCTGATTGAAATAGCTTTTATTGCAGAGCCATAAAAGTCAAGTTTCTCAATTTAATATTTAGAATGTCTAGACAAAATTAAAGCATTTGTCAAATTAGCCAATTACGTAAATGTTTGGTTCATTAAGAGTTGAAACGACTCCATAGATTTTCATTTAAGACGACGACTTTGTCGTGCGAGTGAATTATTGTCACAGTGGGTCGGACCGTGCTAATTTCACTAACAAAAACCCATTAGTCAACTTGTAAAAAGGAGGGTAATATTGATTATAACGAAGTGTTTTATAAATATTATAAAGTTGCAAATATGTATACAATAACTTCTTGGATTCCCAATCGCACAATTGTAATTAGGTTATTTTATCTATTAATATTAATTTTTATTTATCTAAAAACTACAAAAACCTATTTATACATTATTAGTAATTCGCCCCGGCTTCGCGCGGATTCAATGTAGAAGCAATGTGGTATCAATTTGAAGTAATTAATAATATTACTATTGTATTCGTTTAAATATTTCTAAATATCATATACTTTTTTTAAATATTACCATAGATTACCATAGTTATAGAAAGCTGTCTATTTATTTATTTATTATTATTATTTCTCACCACAAACAATTAAGGACTGAATATTTAAAACTTGCAAAACATTTTAACAATATTATTTGTGGGAGCTGGTGCCTGTACTAGGTGTTAAACCTGTATTACAAGTCACGAGGACCCTTACCTCGAACAGTACAAATTATACAGATGAAAACTTTCACAAAAAAGGTGATGGAGAGTAAAAAAAATTCAGATACAGTGCGTGTACAAGATAAATAGCTTTCGATATGTATAACTTTAAAACAAAAACAAATTATATGCTTAGGTTAATAAGAATGTATGTTGTAATATAGAATACCAACGCTGATCTTTTTGAAGTCCTAATAAAGAGGAACAAACAAACAAGGAGGAAAGGTTGCCTGGAAGAGATCGCATTTAGCGATAAGGTCGCCGAGGAGTTCTTTTGCACTACTACTGCCCACTCACTACTTCCTATGCCACTGTGTTAGGTTGACTGGAAGAAATCTCTTTTAGAGATAAGTTCGCCTTTGCTAACATTGTTATTAACTTATTGTTGTTACTGTATGTTTTAGTGCAATGAAGAATATATATATTTATATATATATTAAACGCTAAATTGTAAGCATATTTATGCTTACAATTTAGTGCCATAGAAATTGTGAAATTGAAGTCAGTTTTTGTGGAACAAATCTACTTGTATTTAAATCAAAACTTAAAATCTTTTTTGTTCCAGTTCAACACTGGAACGTGTATTTTCGTCGACGGATGGGCATTTGGACGCGATATCGCATCTGATTGAAAATCACTCAATAATGTCATTGTAGTAAGTTTAAATTTTTTTTTATCTATTTCAAATGTCATGTTGACGGCCCACGAACGATACCATGAACATAACAGAGTATAATGTGTCGTCCATGATACCCCTCATGTTTTGCCATTCCTGATAATTAAGTTGCTATGTTTCTATACCCTGTAATATCCGACCTTTCAAATTGAAACAAAGTCGTGAAAACACAACTGTTTCACGGCAGAAACACGAATGAGACAGAAGTGCCCAAGTAAATGACTTTTGTACAAAGTCTCCGTTTGGTAAACTATATACATGGATAGCATCATAAACGGCGCACTCTGCTATACTGTGATCGAGACTGTACAAAAGTTGTCAGCATGAGTACTTTTATCCCATCTGTGTTTCTACTGCAGCAGATGTGTTTGCACGTATATGGTGTTAAAAAATAGGATATGGCAGGGTAAATTACATGGTATGGAGGCATAACATCTTAGTCCACAAGAATGGCAACGTATGAAGGGTATCATACGTATCACAGTGCATTCTATCTTCATAATCCTAATAAATAAACCTTAACCCTTCTTTGCATAATGGTGGAAATTTCCATCATAACATTAAATGTCCAAAAATTATATAAAAAACCAAGTTCACTTCAAGTTGATAGTGTCTGGATACCATTTTTTATTTGCAATGCAGAAAAAAAAAAACATAGCTGTCAAATTTAATTCTTTAACCATTTTTCCTTTAATTTTGAACATAAACTATATTACCTTGATTTATTTCACCAATAAAAAAAAATCACGCAAAGAAGGGTTAATTTCTCTCACTACACGGAGTGGGCATATCTCTTTCAGAGATAAGTCCTTGCTAACAAGTTGTTAAACTAATCGCTGTATATTTTTTTTAACAAGTGCAATAAAGAATCATCGTCATCGTATCAGCCTTTAACTGTCCACTGCTGAACATAAACCTCCCCCTAGAGGGGTTTTGCTAGTAGTTGCCACGTTTGGCAGGCGGGTTGGCAACCGCAGTCAGCCGTTAGAGATACTTTATGAAGGACACTGCTGCACATCTCTCGCCCTCCCTTAGTCGGTTTTTACTATACCCATGGGATAGAAAGGGATGGCCTATTCTATGCCGGGACCACACAGCTACCGCAATAAAGAATGTACATAATTATTTTAATCTAATAACTACCGGTTTAATTTACGTGTCTTGGTCGAGAAAGCTCGACTAGTTTTGGGCTCAATTCAAGACCCTTAATCATGAGTGGCTGTGGCGCGAGCGCGAGCCTATATAGGTATATATAAATATCCAAGCGGCTAAAGGCGACGGTGACCACTTTCCATCATATGGGCTGTAAGTTTGTTTGTCATTGTAAGTATCATAAAAAAACACTATCACGCCCTTGTTATCCCTCATCCGTTGTCATTCCTGAGGACTATGGTATTTTGCCTCAGTATCTAATTGCTACAATATGACCGTATGGTCCCGGCATAGAATGGGCCATCCCTTCCTTACCTGTAGGCGTCGTAATAGGCGGCTTAAGGAACTAAGCTTAAAGACTAAAATAGTCGAAGGATGGGCGATAGTGTTGCTTACACATCATCAAGCCTAACTGCGGTTGCCAATCTATCTACCAAGCGTGGCAATTGTTGGCAAAATTTATGGAATAGGTCTATGTTCAGCAGTGGGCAGTAAACGGCTGATATAATAATAATATAAGAAAATACATGTTATCCCATTGCTATTCCATATTAATATTTGCTCGTAATTTATACGAAAAGATCGATATGTTAGCCTTTCCTCGATATGATTTATTGTCTATTTTAGATCTTAAACGTGATCTGGGGGTCAATTATTTTTTTTTTTTTTTTTAAACTTATATGAATCCTACCGACTGCGCCATGTCAACTTTGATACTTAGGGGGAATCGGGCAGCGATCTTTGAATATAAATGACATAGACGTCTGTCCCCATCCTTTTTGATAAGTGTGTTGTTTGTTTTACTTCTAATCATTGACATGAATGAATTATTTTTTTAAATTTATAATTTCTGTTTCATGAGAGGCTGGTGTCTGTTTTGAAAAACTTTGTACAAAAGTACATACACACATTTTCTCTTTGTGTGTGTGCGCGGGTGTTCGGGTGTGCGTGCGTGCGTGCGTGCGTGTGTGCGTGCGTGCGTGCGTGCGTGCGTGCGTGCGTGCGTGCGTGCGTGCGTGCGTGCGTGCGTGCGTGCGTGCGTGGGTACGTGCGTGCGTGCGTGCGTGCGTGCGTGCGTGCGTGCGTACGTGCGTGCGGGAGTGCGTGCATGCGTGTATGTGTGATATATTAAAATATTACTATGTTTAAAATTCTATGTATTATTGCCATTGTAAAGGACTTTTATTGTTAAACTGTAATGTACATAATATTAATACTTATACATGACTGTTTGTTACCATAAATAAATAGAAAAAAAATATTTCTTAGGATACCTAATCTATGGAATATATATTTTTTACCGTCCCGCAGTTAGATTAATGTAATTTTATATATACGTATTTTTTTAATAACTTGCATTCTTCGATTTATTGTAAGAATTGTAATCATGTTTAAGTCGAGTAAAAGTATTTTTTTTTCTTTATTATTTACGCAGCCATTTAAGGGAGGATATTTTAAACATCAGGTGAGTGTTTTATATTGAAATTGCATAAAAAAAGTATTAAAAGAAGCTCTTTTAATCGAAAAACGTCTGTTTGTGTATTATGTCCATTATTTATTTACTAGTATTTATCTCCGATATTTTCTACATTTTGGAGATGTATTGATTAATTGAAATAAAAAGTAACATGTTTCCTTTAATAATATGGTAATAAACAAACAAACAAAGTTACTTTCATATTTATAATATTAGTACTGAGTAGGGCTTTATTTGAATCCATCAACATATATGTATATTGCTTTAATAAATAATAGTCAACATAAAGTTATATAAATATAAAATACATATTGTGTAGGCCCGTTGTTGTTAATTTAGAGAACAATAATGTAAAATGGTCAGCGAAATAATAACAATCCTTCATTACAAATTCTTTAGTTTATATTGTATAAAATAATACATAAATATAATGAAACTCATTATGTTTATGTTAGCTGGCGATATTCTAGATATTAAAACAATTATTTCAATGTACAAATACAGCATAAACTTGGGTCCAACCCACGTCTATGCTAACGCTATGCTGGCAGCCATTTTGATTTTTTTAATGAAATTTCTCTGTGTGTACAATCATATTAGTAAAAGTTTGGGTTTCACTTGCGATAAAAATAAACTTATTCGACGTATAATAATCTGTAATTTACAATATAAAAGAATGTGTTTCTATCTATAAACTTTAGAAAAAAATATGACATTTAAAAAAAAAAGTAAACAAAATACGTAAATTAACAAATTATTGCAAATTACTACAAAGTCACTACCCATAAATCATAACCCATTTAATGTTTTTACTAGTACGATAGCTTTTGAGCTAAGCTACAATACAAGATTAACCATTTTGGTAACCAAATACCAAAATGGATGCGGTTGTAATTATCTCGGTTGTAATCTGGGTTTAATTTAAAAAAAAGGTGTATGTTTTATTCTGATAGGCCATCTAGAAAAGGCAAATTTTTATAGTTTTTAGGGTTCCCTACCTCCAAAGGAAAAAACGGAATCCTTATAGGATCATTCAGGTATCAAGTTGAAATTAATATCATATGCTCAGGTTTGCAATCTCTAAAAGCAATGAAAAAATCAAGCTTCTAAATCGATGCTATAAAAGTATACGGCCTCTTATTTTCCATTTATATTGCAATATTTTGACATTCGCAATGGGACTCAAAACCTATTGGGTACTTCCCGTTGACCTAGAATCATGATGTTTGGCAAAAAGCAATGTCACGTAGCACAAGTAAAGGAAAAAATCCGATATTTGTAAATTCATTTCACAAAAAAAATCAACTTGATTTTGTACGACTTGCATCTTATCCGATTTTTCTATTTTTGAAATTCACGCAAACGAAGTCGCGGCCATGAAGCTAGTTATAAAATAATTGAAAAGGGTTAAGAATAAATAAGATGACAAATGTTTGCCTTTTGTGCGGAAGTATTTGCAAAGTCACTAATTACCCCTAGAGACGCTAATTTACCCGTTAGCGACTTGTCCTGGCGCTTGTTCGGCGTGCTTGTTTTTAATATTTTTTCTTTATTACTTTCGTTGCATATCTTTAGTCTTTGCCGTATGGTTTCCGCGTAGAATAGGCCACCCCTTCGTATTGTAAGAGGCGACTAAAAGAGGACGAGGAATTGGCAGCAGCGTCTTTCTTAAAACATCTCCAAAGTTTAACTGCGGTTGCTAATCCGCCTGAAAAGCATGGCAACTACTGGCAAAACCATCCAAGGGGAAGGCTTATGTTCAGCAGTGGACAAAGGCTGATATGATGATGATTATGATGACCGAATGTATGTGAGTTCGGTACTCCTCCGCCCCCGCTCTCCCTCAAAATTTTGCCCATGCAACAAGCATACGGCCCACATTGATGGTAAGCGGTTACCGTAGCCTACGAACGCCTGCAATACCAGAGGTATTACGTGCGCGTTGCCGACCCTGAAGAAACCTCTTTACGGGGGTAAAGAGGTTTCTTCATATATACAAACCCTCTCTTAAACCTATTATTTGTATACTACTGAGGTGGAGAACAAGCATAGGGCCCACCTGATGGTAAGTGGTTACCGTAGCCTATGAACACCTGCTATAGCAGAGGTATTACGTGCGTGTTGCCGTTCCTGAAGAAAACTCTTTACCCCCCTTTTGAAGAACCCCATGCTGTTGTCTCTTGGGAAAACCTCGGCAAGGAGCTCTTTCCATAACCTGAGTGTTCGTGGGAGAAAACATCTCTGAAACCGCGTTGTACGCGACCATTTAGGCTGTAAGATCTAAGTATAGACATAAAATGTGTTTTCGATTTATAAATAATTGAAAATATGTAACTATTGTAATTAATACA